TACTGATGAGGGTCCTCGTTGATGTTGATGGTTGTTTTGATGTGAGTCATGACCAGTTTTTCGAAGCATTTAGCGACTATCGGGGTGAGGGCCACTGGCCGATAGTCATTCAGACCAGTCACTGTAGAGCTTTTTGGGACTGGGATGATGGTGGCAGTCTTCAGGCAGGTGGGAACTGTCTCCAGGGTAAGTGAGGTGTTAAAGATGTCTGCCAGCACCTCACAGAGCTGATCAGCACATTCCTTCAACACTTTTCCGGGGATGTTGTCTGGGCCAGTTGCTTTGTGCGGATTAATCCTCCTGAAGGTACTCCTTACTTCTGCTGAGGTCACGCTGAGATGCTCTTTATCCGGTGGTGAGGTGAGTCTGGTGCTGGGTGGTCTGTTCGGGTCTTCAAAACGTGCATAGAACTTGTTGAAGGCATCAGGCAGAGATGGGTCTTTGGGGCATTGTTCGCTCCTTCCTTTCTAGAATTCTAGGTTCTAGAATTGCGCCGCTCCAGGTGTCTGCATGTTGGAGCAGCTCTGTTACTTTCATTCTGAGATTTTGCTTTTGGAAACTTTAATTCCTCTTTTTCTGGATGTAAATCCCATTTTTTGGATGATTGTTTCCTCTGGTATCAGATGCTGTGCAGCTGGAAGGATTTTTACTGAAACTTTTTTAGTTTTGGACATTTGTTATGATGCGTAACCATGGCAACAAGGCAGTTTTCTACAACCAACAGCAGCTGAATAACATCTCAAAAGCTCAAATAATATCTCAACTACAGCCCCAAATCTCAAATGAGTTGAAAAGGATGTTCTGTGGAAGCATTCTCATCTACCTGCCAGCTGTGCTTGAGTGCCTGATCACTTAGATCCTGGAACTAGCAGGAAACACGGCTCATGACAGTGGAAGGACTGGATCATCCCTCGGCACCTACAGTTGGCTGTCCGCAGCGACAAGGAGCTCGACAGACTGCTGGGAGGAGTGGCCATTGCCCTGGGAGGAGTTCTGCCTGGCATTCAGGTGGTCCTACAGCCCGGGGGAACCGAGAGGCCAGCCGAGTCTGGGTGGACGGATCGGACGGCATCTGCAGCCAGTTTCTTAGGATCCATTGTGGGATGGACCTTTACAAGAGATCCTTCCTGTCTACAGCCATCAGCATCAACATCTCTTAATGAAATGAGGATAACAAGTTACAACAACAAATAATTTCCCTTTGGGATTAATAAAGTATTATTGAATTG